AAGGCCATTTTCCCCTTTAGCCCTAGGTGCTATGCTTTTTCTTCCTAGCAGCCAGCCATATTCTCTCCTTATACTATCCATTCTCTACTTTTTAAAACCCAGCCCTAGTGTCTGTCTCCCTCTCTGGTTTTCGAGCTGAGGACATCTTAGTTTCCTTTTTGTTACTTCGCTCCTCTACCACAATGGAGCTAGGAGGTAGGGGCAGATTGTCTTACTCTCCATTTCTTTGGGATCCCTGAATTTAAAGAGGGTCTTCCAGACATTCAGATTCCTTAGGGTGAATCCCTACTCTTAAATCTTTTCAGTTTAGAAGAAAAACAAAACAGTCCTTAATCTGTGTTTGATCTCTGAGTCAGAAGACTGACTCTGGAGGCAGAGGACCTGGGTTCAAATCCTACCCTTGGCACTTGGTAGGATAAGAGTCATTTAATCTCCTTGGGTCACTGTTTCCTCATCTGTGAAATCAAGGGGCTAAATTGGATGATCTCTCAGCTCTAGATCTCTGATCCCACAATCTTCCTTAATACTTAAAAGGATCCATGGTTTTGTTAGCATGGGTCCTCCTTCCATTCATGCTGATTGCAGCCCCTTAGTTGATGGTCTTTCTGAGTTGCTTTGGCTAAAATAATCAATGATCCCATGACCAAACAGGTGAGGAATCTTTGAACATCGATAGAAGGGTTCTTGGATGATGTTTAAGAGAGCCCCCTGCTGTGCCCATCCTTGCTTTTCTATCTTGGTAGCACTTGCCAGACCTTGCCTTCTGCTGACCTAGCCTTTGAGAGCCCAGGATTACCACCAGACCAGGCTGAGTTAGGGAAGGAGGACTCCAGGAGAAGCCACAGTTGCTTCTTACTCCCATTCTGGTTTATTCAGAGATGGGAGGTGCAGGCCAGGTTAGATTACATTTTAGAAGCTGCAGAAATCCTTGAATGTCAAGGCTCATTGGCATTTCCTTGTAACTGTGAAGAACGCAAAAACCTGCAGGGATGTCGAGATGGTTGGAGATTGTAGGAGGGACTGACTCGCTGCTCGATGGGGAAACAGGGAGCTCCTTATTTAGAATCCTTTAAGAAAGCAGAATCGTGTCCAAATGTAGGTTTTGGCTTCCTAGACAGTGAGAAAGGTAGAGCCATGTTTTCTTTTACGAAAGCTTCACTTTTCAAAAGCATTTACTTTACTAAAAGCTGGAATTATCTCTGGAGATGAAATTCTCTTAGGTCCTTACAAACATTCCTGGAGGGATTGGCAGTGCCCGGAAGCCTTGCTACAGCGCCTTCAAAGTATCAGGGCATTCACAAGGACCATGTTGGACCAATCCTACAATTCATCTTTGACCACTGTCCAGGCCTCGAAGGGCTTGCTGGGGCGTGGACGTCCTCACAAGGTTAGGGATGGCCCCTTGATATTCTCTATTCCTTTAAGTGTCCCATCACAGAAAGGGCATTTATACATTTCCTGAAACCTTTTTGTAAGCTATAGCTTTTCTCTTTTTAGCCTGCACAAAGTTCTGTAAGCCAGTTTTCATGGCCTTTTATTCACCTAAATTTACTGTTTTCAAACTTTAAGGAGTCCCCTTCCTTTACTTTTTTAGGATCCAGGGTTCATTCTATCTACCTGACAGTCAATCAGTAAGCATTTATTAAGCACCTACAATGTGCCGGGTACTATGCTAAGTGCTGGGGATACAAAGAAAGGCAAAAGACAGTCTTTGCCCTTAAGGAACTTACAGTCTAATGGGGAGACAACATGCAAACAAATATGCAAGCAAGCTATGTACAAGATAAATAGGAAACGTTGAGCAGAGGGGAGGTACTAGAAATAAGAGGGATTGGGAAGGGCTCCCTATAGAAGGGGGGATTTTAGTTGGGACTTGAAGGAAACAGAAAGGCCAGGAGGCAGAGGTGGGGAGGTAGAGTATTCCAGGCATGGAAATACTTCCTTGTAGTTTTATGTTGTCTTGTATCTTCTCAACCTTTTGCAAGTCCTTGAATTTCTATGGACCTCACTTTTCTCCTCCGTAAAATGAGGGGGCTGCATCATTTGGGAATGACTTAAAAAAAAACAACTAAGGTAGGAATATGATAGAATATTATCATCCACTCAGAATGGACAAGTAGGAGGAATTCAGAGAAATGTGTGGAGATGTGTATGAGCTAATGCAGAATGAAAGAAGTAGAAACAAAAGAACAGGAGACGCTGTAACTACAATAGTTGTAAATGAAAATATAGCTAGAAGGAAGTCAAATCCTGAGTAACTGAAAAATCAACAATGAGCCCAGAGAAGAGTTAATGAAATAAGGCCTCTTTCCTTTTGGCAGAGGGCAGAATAGTATACATATTGTCAGATTTGGCATTGTAACAGGTTTTCACATTGTTTTCTTTGTTATAAGAGAAAGTTCAGTGGGGGAGGAAAGGAAAGAGGACAGGAGTTATTTCGTGGTCCAGAAATAACTATAATGTAAAAACAAAAGGCATCAATAATACTTATTTTAGAAGGTGATAAAAATAAAATGAGCAGGCTGGACCAGACAGATGATCTCTAAGAACCCTCTCAACCACAAATCCTGGGATACTTTGATACATGCTCAGACAGCATGGCTGGTCATCTTTCTTCCCTTCAGTTCCCAATCACCCAACATCCCATGGTCACCGTAATTGCCTTTCCCTGGACTATCTCTAACTCCACTGTCCAGATTCAAATTCAGCCAGTATTTATTAAGCACCTATTATGTTTAAGGTCCTGCTTTTTGCCCTTGGAATACAAAGATGGAAAAAAAATGACAGTTCCTACCACTGGGTTATGATCTAATAAGACATTGTACAAGATGTGCACAACTCAGTGTAATACAAGGTCAAATATGAATGGGGCAGAGGAGAGTCAAGGCAAATCATGAGAAATCCAAAGACAGAGAAAATACCTTCACCTGGGATGGAGGGGTATGGTGGAGGTTGGCTCCTTGAAGGAGGTACATTCATCAGACTTGCTCACAGTTTCTCGGTGTGGTTGGGCTTTTGATTGCTTTTCACAGAGAAGCAGAGTTAATTAGAGGGGGCTGCCACACATGGACATTGGTTTGGTTGAGGGATGGGGTGGCCTTCCTGGTAAATATTTCATCCTCATAGGTCCACATGAAGTTTCAGGATCCCAGTACTCACCATATTTTAGGAGGTGGTGTTGTTGCTGTTTTTAAATATGTGTCGGGGAAGAGAGGGTAGCAGGTCACTTTATTTCTATCTTCTTCATCAACTTTCCTATAGGCTATAATATGCTGCAATAAACATTTACTGAACACCTGCTATATGCCAGGCACTGTGCTAAGTGTTGGAGATACAAGTAAGAAAAAGGACCAACCCTTGCCCTCGAGGAGCTTACAATCTAACAAGGGAAGATAATACAAAAAAGGAAGCTGAAAAGTGGGGAAGTGGCACCAGAGGGTATCCTGCTTGGGGTCATGATGGTGATGGTGGCATTGAAACCAAAGCAGAGCAACTAGTGGAAAATGAAGGGATGGCTAGAATTTTGAGCCCTCTGTAAAGGAAGGCTAAAGGAGGGTTTGTTTTTTTTTTTTGGCGCCACTCTCCAGACGTCCAAAGGCTCACTCTGGAGGAGTACAGACAACAGGCTTTTGGGGACTCATGTCTAGTTGCCACGCCCTTGGTTGTTCCCAGAGACTCTGACTCTCCTGAGCTCCTCTTGATTCTTTGAAATTGATGAGTGTTGTTAGAGAGAAAAGGTCTAATTCTAGTCTCACTGACCAGGGAGAGGGAGACCCGTATTGTTGGCCAGTCACCTGAGGCATGAACGGGCTCTGGGTTGGCATCTCCAATTAGAAGAACTCATGTCTACCTAGTTTACCAAACATTTCCCTCCCAGTAACCCTGAGGAGTAGGAATCCCACAAGGACTCCAGATGATTTGGGTTCTCAGCAGCATAATGTAAATCCCTCTGGTGCAGATGACCCTTCAGCTGGTGGCTCCAAGAGTTCATAGGATCATCGATTTAGAACTGGGGGGACCTGAGAGGTCATTTAGTCCAGGCCTCTCATTTTACAGAAGACAAAACTGAGGAGTGAAGCTCCTTGTCCAAGGTTATGCATGTTTTTGTGGCCAAAAATCTCATCACCCAGGGATCGCAGGCACACAGAGCACCAGATCCCATTACAGCCAAGAATTCTATAACACAGGGATCTGTGATTTCGGGGGTATTGGAACTTCCTGGTGAGGAAACTCACTCTATCAATGCAAATCGACGCCTTCCCCACAGCTTATGGTTTTAGAGAGTTGCCTGAGAGAGGTTAAGTGATTTGCCTAGGGTCGCACAGCCAGTATATGTTATAAACAGGATCTGAATCTAGATGTTCTTGGTTCTGAGACCAGCTTTTCATTTACTATGCCTTGTTCCTTTTCACTTCTATTACATAAGAAAACCATTTTCCTCCAGCAGTTGAAGGGCCACTTACTTCAAATGACAGTTGATACAACCCAATTCTAGTATAACCAAAAGAACATGGATGGTCCTTTGGAGTTGGCTATGAAAAGACTTGCCCTAGAAGCACTTTCATTTGGAGGTCTGGAGCTCTGTCTTTGGAGGGATGAAAGGTGATGGTCATTCCCCTGTGTTCATTTCCTTGGCCTCTCCTAAAGGAGTTCCCTGTAGTGCTATTCCTCCTCGAGCTACTCAATGCTTAACAAATGAGGAGGCCACTTAAAAGCATCTTTGAATGTTCCTACATGGTGCGTTAGTCCTGGAGTGAATTTTGTTCAATGTGTTATATAAATAAAAATTAGGTCGACTTTGCAGCCTATTCTTATTACCTTGTACAAGGGGAGGGATTACACTGTTGTAGAAAATGCTACCACAGTAAGAAAACAGACTTCAGCAGTCTAGCTGTCATGTTAAGTATGTGTTATCCTGAGGCCGCGAAGAGCTTCATGTTGCCTTTTTAAGTTGTATCTCTGAATTACTGTTGTTTTCTGTGTTCTTACAGCATGTCCAGAAGACTAGATCCTAAGGATCCCCTAGATGGCCAGAGAGCAACTTCCCCCACTCCAAAGCAGGCTGCTGCTCATAGCCATGAAGGCCGCCGGCGGGAGATGAGGACTCATGGACAGGCTGGCCCACAGGTGGATGGCCCCCATCGGACACTCCAAGTGGACAGCAGGATGCAGAGAACAGGCCGATCTCCCTCAGTGTCTCCAGACCGAGGCAGCACCCCAACATCACCTTATTCAGTACCCCAAATTGCACCCCTCCCAAGCAGTACCCTCTGTCCTATATGCAAGACAACAGATCTCACCTCTTCTCCTAACCAGCCAAACTTCAACACCTGTACACAGTGTCACAACAAGGTCTGCAACCAGTGTGGATTCAACCCCAACCCTCATCTCACAGAGGTAACCACTACTTACTTTTCTTATTAATGTCAACCCACAAGCTTATTTGTCTGCCCAGAGACTCTACCCTATAGGAGGAGGCTGTGCTGGCAATGGGAAGGGTGCCAGGCTTGGAGTCAGAGGAACCAGATTTAAATCCCAGCTCTGCCACTTTGTTACCACCTATGTGACCTTGGCCAAGTAATTTCAGCTCTTCCCTGACCTCCGTCTTCTCATCTGTAAAAATGGGGGAGTTGAACTGGATGATCCCCATGGTCCTTTCCAGTTATAAATCTATGATCCAAATTCAGTTGGAAATATCCACCAAGTTATGTGATGGTATTGAGAAGGGCTACCTAATTGGTCATTTTGACCACCCCCCTCTCAATATATAAGGATAGGAACTGGGCCTGGGCCTGTGATCTCATTGGCATAGGGAATTGGAAGGCAAGAAAACTCCCTATACCCATGCTTGTTGGCCCTACAAGACTCTACAACCTTGAGAGTTACCTAGAGTATTTTGACACTTGCCCATAGCCACACAACTAATATGTGTCAGAGGAGAGATTTAATCCCAGGCTTCAAGGCTATGTCTTGATCCACTCTGCCACACTGTCTCGCATTGATTCCATCTGTCTATCTGTCCATCTGTCTATCTATCTATCCGTCCGTCTATCTATCTATTGACCTACCTTTCTATCTACCTTCTCTATATGTTCCCCATCTCCCCTCGACTGAGCATATAACTGGACCTTTTTGGCCTACTGACTTTTACATTCTTCTCTCCTCCATCCCACCTTCTTTATTTTCATCCACCTTCCTTTTATAATCTTTTTATCAGCTTGTTTCCTTTTCCTTCTTACTAGCATTCCCATTAACTATTAGCTTTGCCTTTTTGTGGACAAGTCCTGGCTATGGGCTCCGTGGTTCCCAGCTTACTATGGGTGAGTCCTGGCTGTGGAGTTCATGATCCCCACCTTGCTGTGGGCAAGCAGTGAATATGGGTTCTCTGGTTCCTGCCTCATTCTATCTATTTAGCCTCTTTTCTATCAGTGGAAGCGCTGAACCCTGGGGTAGGGTTTTGCCCACTCCAAGGGAAGCTCATTTCAACTGAGAGTTTCTCATGCATTTCAGAATATGCTTAGAAATGTCTCTTGAGATGCAGAATGATGCACTCCTTTCCAAACCCCAAGCTAACTCTCTCTACTTAGGCTAAAGGATCAAGCTGGATGGGTGCTGGGGAGTTGTGGTGGTTTGGGGGAATGAGTGGATGGGAAATGGCCTGCAGGGCAAGCTGGGCATTGGGCGGTAAGCTTCCCAGGAGGCTAGCAAGTACAACTGCAGTTGCTCATTTCTTAGAGTAATGGCCTGTGGTAAACCCCAGACTAGGAGGCATGAATTGAAAGGACCTGGGCATGCATTTAGATTCATTATGCATCTGTTCTTTCTACCACATGGCCCAAGCACTCTATCTAAGCCTGGGGGAACAGGGCAAGTTGCAGTGTTGCTCTCTCGAGCAGGCAGGCAGTCACCTTTCCTGCCTCTGAGGGAGCCTGCTCATAGGAGCTCAGGCACCACTGGGACTCCAGCACACTTTAGCTTTTCTCTGGAGGGTTCTTTCTCAGGAGAGGCTCAGCCAGCATGTAAGGCCAGCTGACCGTGCTCTCCTTGAGGCATAGGCCTGAGGTTGGAAGGATTGACTGTCCCATAGGCAGACTTAGGACTGTGACTCCCAAGGGGACCATGGAAACTGAGGGATATCACAGCAGTGGCTTGCTTGTGATTCTCAGGCTATCAAGAGCAGAGAAATCCTTTCGCCTTGGGTAGTGGGAGATAAGTGAGAATAATTGTTTGCAAGTTGGTGTCTATTTGTAAAATGTGGTACCGTAGGTGTGTGATGTGGGGGATGCGAAAGGTAAGTGTGAGATTCTGGGGGAAGAGCTGACAATATTGGGGGAGATGAGTCAATTTGTTCCTTTGGCTGAGCTCTTGGTGTGTGGGCTTTATTAAGAGAGGTGAGTGCTCTTCATTACTTGGCACCGGTGACTAATTATTTTGTGGAGGAGCAGTTCAATTCTGCACACTGATCTGTTAGGTAAGCGCTTGCAGCTCAATATTTGGAAAGAGCAAAGTCATTAGGGTCAGGAGGGTGCTGTTTCTGGATTTCCTCCTGTGAAATGACCCAAACCATTAGCATTGTGGTAAGATATGAAACCTAGAAATAGGCTGTGGCAAAGGCCTTGTGAAGCCCCAGCCTGAAGAGGCCATGACTGGGGTATCCTGGCCTTGGAAAACCCAAGGGAGGGCAATGGCTGCCTGGACCACTTTGAGGCCATTCCTTCTGCATGAGCTACAACCCCACCATCCTGAGCCCTCTCTGGGCACCAGGGCCCTGACACTAGGCCTGTTTGTTTGTTTTATCAGACACAGGTGACAAGTGCACCATGTGTGTATATGAATACACACAGGTGCAAGGGTTTTGGAAAGGAGGCTTGGGCATGAAGGGCCAGCGTTTTAGTAAACACTAAATCAGGGAGCAAGTGTGCTGGCCCGTGTCATGGACTGTCCTGTGTTCCCCTTCCCATTGACTACTTCTGACCCAGCCCAGCCATACCAAAAGCTTGAATACCTGCTCCAGAGTATACCATTGACCCCAGTCAGACAGAAGCCCAGTGTGCTTCATTCATTCATTTATTCATTCATTCAGAGTCACACAAAGATGGCAGGTGGTAGAACTGAGGTTTAAACTCAGGTCTTCTTATCCAAATGCAGTATTCTTTCCATTATATGGTGTTAACTCTTATGATAGTGTTCAAATATCCATAGGACTGTCAGGGAGTTAGACTTGTTCTGTTTGACCTCAGAGGACAAAAGTAGAAGTTATGGACAAAAGTGATAGAAAGGCATATATAGGCTTGATGCGAGAAAGAAGTTCCTAACCATTGGAGCTATGCAAAAGGGGAATGGGCTGCCTTGAGAGATGATGGTTTTGCCCTGCTTGGAGATCTCCTTGAATGACTAGTCATCAGTGTCATAGAAGGGATTCGTGAGAATGGTATTTTTTCCCCAATTACATGTAAAAACAATTGTTAACATTCATTTTTGTTGTTTTTTTGGCTAGGCAATGGGGTTAAGTGACTTGCCCAGGGTCGCACAGCTAATAAGGGTTATGTGTCTGAGGCCAGATTTGAACTCAGGTCCTCCTGAATCCAGGGCTAGTGCTCTATCCACTGCGCCACTTAGCTACCCCGACATTCATTTTTTAAAAGTTTTGATTTCCAGATTCTATCCTTTCTCCTCCCTTCCTGAGACAGTAAGCAATCTGATAAAGGCTATAAATGTGTAATCATGTAAAACATTTCCCTATTGGTCATTTTGTGGAAGAAACCTTGGTCATAACTTTAGAGCCAGAAGGGCCTTTGGAAGACATCTGGTCCAATTTCCTCATTTGGCAGATGTAGAAACTGAAGCCCAGAGAGGTTAAATGATTTATCCAAACTCACACAAGATAGTAAGCAGTAGAGATGAGAAATGAACCACGGAATCACTGACTGGAGTTAAAAGGGACCTCATTCAACCATATGTGAAAAGAATCCCCATCATAGTATATCCAATTAGTGATCATTCAGTCTCTGCTTGAAGACTTCCAGTGAAGGGTAACTCTCCTTCCTGGGCAGTCTACTCTCCTTTTAGACAGCTCTAACCATTAGGAGGTTGTTTTTTGATTCAGCCTATATTTGCTTCTCTAGCACTTCCATCCCTTGTTTCTGGTCCTGCCCTGTGAGGTGGAAGCCAGGTTATCTGATGCCAAATGAAGTATGGGTTGGCCTCTGATATTCCCTCTAACTCTGCGATTCTAGAATACTTCACAGAAAAGAAAGGCATCACAGCTCAGATGTGTACCCATGTTTAAGAAAGGAATATGAGCTCAAGACTGAGAGCTAAAGGTGGGAGCCATGGAAGAGTAGCTTAGGGCATTGGAGAAAAGAAAAAGGAACAGGAGAATAGAGATTCCTTTCCAGAACACTAAACACCATCAAAGGATATAGCTTTCCTGTGGTGTCTATTTATCCTTTATTTCTCTCTCCCATACACTGATTCACTCCCTGAGGAGGTCTCCCCAGCTGGAGTCAGAAGGAAGGCATATTAGAAGCATTCTGCACACAAACACTGCCCAATCAGTGTGTTCTGGCTGCCCAGCTATGTGGAGAGAGGGAGGAGGTGTCATGAGGGGGTAAATAAACCTTTTCCTTAAAATGTACCTTAGGCATTTCACCTTGGACTCATAGGTATATCCTGCACTTTTTTGTGTCCTGGTTCTATAATGTCTTCTGTGTAGGGAATTCTGATTTTTGGACATTTCCCTCCATTGATGCCTGTCAACAAGTTATCTGTAATTGATGGTCTTAAAACGTTGCCTGGGGCACTGGGGTCACAGGTTTAGGGTTGAAAGAGGCCTTCCAGGTTATCTAGTCCATCTTCCTCATTTTACAGATGAATAAACTGAGGCCAAAGTAACTTAGACAAGGTCACACAGACAGTAAGCCTCAGAGAGGCAATTTGGACCTGGGTCCTCTAACTCCAAATTCAGTGTCATTCCATCATATTAAACTGTCTCTTCCAAGGCAGAGCTTAAGTGATTTACCCATGGTCACAAAGACAGTATATGTCAGATGCAGAAACTGAACCCAGGTCTTCATGACTCTATGGCTCACCTTTCCTCTCCTATACCATAACTGCCTCTTATTCTGTACTTAGGTAGTAATGATGATAACTGACATTTACATAGAGGCAACTAGGTGGCACAATGGATAGACTACAAGATTTGGAATTTGGAAGGACTGAGTTCAAATCTTGCCTTAGACATTTACTAGCTATGGAACGCTAGGCAAGTCACCTAATCTCTGCCTCAGTTTCCTCATCTGCAAAATGGGGATAATAATAACACCCACTTCCCAGAATTGTTGTAAGGATCAAGTGAGATGGTGTTTGTAAAGGGCTTTGCAAACCTTAAAGCTCTA